AGCCGGGAGGCGGAGGTTGCAGTGAGCCAAGATCATGCCACTGCGCTACAGCCTGGGCAACAGAACGAAACCCTGTCTCAAGGAAAAAAAAAAAACAATCAGAATCTTTGGAGTAGTGACCAGATGCTGTGGCTCACGCCTGTAATCCTAGCATTTCGGGAGGCTGAGGTGGGCAGATCTTTTGAGCCCAGGAGTTTGAGACCAGCCTGGTTAAAATAAGGAGACCTCATTTCTACAAAAAAATTAGCTGGATGTGGTGGCATGTGCCTGTAGTTCTATCTACTCAAGAGGCTGAGGTGGGAGGATCACCTGAGCCTGGGGAAGTCGAGGCTGCAGTGAACTGTGATCATGTCACTGCACTCCAACCTGGACAACAGAGTGAGACCTCATCTCAAAAAAAAAAAAAAGAAAAAAAAATCTTTAGAATAGGAGGAGGATATTGAGCAGGACCCTGAGAAACTAGTGATTAAGAGTCCAGGTGTGAAAATAGAAACCAGGTCTCAGGAGCTCAGAGAGAAGAACTGGAAAGACAGCATCTTTGATGGATTTGGCCATGAGGAGAAGGAGGAATAAAACAGAATGGAGGCCAGAAAAGAGTATGTATGTCTAAGGGTTTATTTGGAATTGGGAGATCCAGGTATACCATGTAAAATTGCTTATGAAGGTAAAGTTTGAAGAAAATTCATTCCACTTTGAGCTATATAATTTTTAAAACCACATTATCTGTTAAAACACCAGAAGCCCTGTTTCTTGGTTACTAATTATGAGTATTCAAGGCCTCAGATCAACTCAGCATTTATTTTTATTTATTTTATTTTTTTATTTTTATTTTATTACTTTTTTTGCATTTTTAGTAGAGACGGGGTTTCACCGTGTTAGCCAGGATGGTCTCGATCTCCTGACCTTGTGATCCACCCGCCTCGGTTTGAGATGGAGTCTTGCTCTCTTGCCATACTGGAGTGCAGTAGCACGATCTCGGCTCACTGCAACCTCCACCTCCCAGATTCAAGTAATTCTCCTGCCTTAGCCTCCCGAGTAGCTGGGATTACAGGCCCGTGCCGCCATGCCTAGCTAATTTTTTGTAGTTTTAGTAGAGATGGGGTTTATCATGTTGGCCAGGATGGTCTCTATCTTCTGACTTCATGATCTGCCTGCCTCGGCCTCCCAAAGTGCTGAGACTACAGGCGTGAGCCACCATGCCTGACCTATTTATTTATTTATTTAATTTGATAGAATCTCATTCTTTTGCCCAAGCTGGAGTGCAGTGGCACCATCTTGGCTCACTATAACCTCCATCTCCAGGTTTCAAGTGATTTTCCTGCCTCAGCCTTTCAAGTAGCTGGTGGGATTATAGGCATCTGCCACCAAGCCCGGCTAATTTTTGTGTTTTTAGTAGAGACAGGGTTTCACCATGTAGGCCAGGCTGGTCTCAAACTCCTGACCTCGGGTGATCCACCCACCTCGGCCTCCCAAAGTGCTGGGATTACAGGCATGAGCCACCGCGCCCAGACAACTCAGCGTTTATTGAGTACTCCTTATGTGCCAGTTAGGGCTATAAAGACAAATAAGATGTCTTTTCCCCAGTTGAGATATGCATAAGACAGTTCGTGTTTGCCTGTTTCAGTAGTCAGTATTTTCTTTTGCTTATTCAGTTTCCATTGACACTTATATTTTCCAAATACAAAATTAGAATTCCAACTTTGCGTTTTTGAGGCGCACACACTCATTTATTCTACACTCCTTCCCCAGTTCTGATTTGCTTCCTCCTGAAAATGGGGGTGATGGCCCATCCACTCCAGGGTCAGAATTGCTGGGTGCCTTGTTGAAGTGATTTTTTTCTGTAGCTCCTCTGGAGGTTATAGACTCAGGGAATAAGTAATATGGTCAGGTGGAGGCTTTAGACCAAGTTAAGCAGGGTTTTTAAAACATGGTGTTCATGTACATAGTGTAGCCATTCTCAAAAGTATGGCATGGGGAGATCCCTGGAGGTTTTCTGAGACCCTTTTCAGGAGTCTGCAGAGTCAAAACTATTTTTGTGATACTATTAAAACATTTGCTTTTTTCATTCTCTCTCTCACAAGTGTAGAGTGGAATTTTCCAGAGGTTCCATGATGTGTGATATCACAACAGATCGAATGCAGAAGCTTGTATGAAAAGTTCATACAATATATATTATTTGTGTTATAATGGGCTTATTGTTATTTTGAAATCAGTTATTAAATACTTTTTTAAATAATTTCTCAGGTTTTATTTGTATTATGATAAATATTCATTGATACAGCCCACATTTGGGGGAGTCAGTAATCTTTAAAAGTGTAAAAGGGACCAAAAAGTGTGAGAATGTTTGATGTAGAGAAACTGCAAGCTTCTTCCCTGGACTTTGGCTATAGATGCTTTCTTCAGGGGTGGGTCTTCTGGGCCCAGGTCCTGCAGGATGCCCAGTAGGAAGCAGAGCCTCTTTGATCTTATGGGGGTGGGCTCATTTGCTGTTCTGGAGCTCAGGTGCAAAGCTGAGTTACTTGATATTCCCTGGTCATGGCAAAGCCTCTCTCCACTTTTCTTCTCTTCTATTGTCACTTCCATTCTTTTCCCATTCTGGATACCCAGAGTCCATAGAAATCATTTTTACCTGACAGCGATGAGCTGACCAGAAGCTATAGAAGCTATAGTACTTCCTATATCCTAATGGTTTTTAAAAATACTGGCGGGGCATACTCACCCTTTCTGAACAAAGGCTGCAAGGTGACCCTTTTGTTGCCTCTATATATATTCACTTGGTTAGCCCACAGATTGGTTTGGATCTAGTTCCCTTTCCTTCTTTAACTGCCCAAAGGGCTTTTCTATTTAAAAAAAAAAAAAAAAAAAAAAGTTTTTAAAGTTTTCAGATTCAATACCCAAGTATTTGTATGCTTATCCATCCCAGAGTCAGCTAAAGTGTCAGTAAATTGTAAAGAAAAGATTTGCTACATTGCATATGTTTTTAGAAGTGCTTTCTGTGTATAATCTCTCTCTCTCTCTCTCTGTCTCTCTCTCTCTCTCTCTCTCTTTTTCTTGGTTTGGAGGAGATTTTCCCCTTGTCTATAAGTGACTTAAATATAAAATGTTATAACAATACATTTATTAGTTTGAAGCCCCCAGATTTTCTTTTCTTTTTTTTCTTTTAAGTGAAAGCAAGTTTATAAAAGAAGTAAAGAAACAGACCAGGCACTGTGGCTCTCACCTGTAATCCCAGCACTTGGGTAGGCCAAGGCGGGTGGATCACCTGGGGTCAGGAGTTCGAGACCAGCCTGGCCAACATGGTGAAACCCTGTCTCTACTGAAAATACAAAATTAGCCGGGCGTGGTGGTGCGCACCTGTAATCCCAGCTACTCCAGAGGCTGAGGCAGGAGAAACTATTAAAACTTGGGAGGCGGAGGTTGCAGTGAGCCGAGATCATGCCACTGCTCTCCAGCCTGGGCAACAGAGGGAGACTGTCTCAAAAAAAAAAACAAAACAAAAACAAAAAACAGAGGCCGGGCGCGGTGGCTCAAGCCTGTAATCCCAGCACTTTGAGAGGCCGAGACGGGCGGATCACGAGGTCAGGAGATCGAGACCATCCTGGCTAACATGGTGAAACCCCGTCTCTACTAAAAAAAAAATACAAAAAACTAGCTGGGTGCGGTGGCGGGCGCCTGTAGTCCCGGCTACTCGGGAGGCCGAGGCAGGAGAATGGCTTAAACCCGGGAGGTGGAGCTTGCAGTGAGCTGAGATCCGGCCACTGCACTCCAGCCTGGGCGACAGAGCGAGACTCCGTCTCAAAAAAAAAAAAAAGAAAGGAAAAAAAAAGAAGTAAATCAAAACCAAAGAATGGCTGCTCCATAGAGCAGCAGTATCAGCTGCTTGACTGAGTCTACTTTTAGGTATTTCTTGATTATATGCTAAACAAAGGGTGGATTATTCATGAGCTTTCTGGGAAAAGGGCAGAGATTTCCTGGAACTGAAGCTCCCTCCCCTTTTAGGGAACTGTTTAGGTAACTTCCCACAGTTGCCATGGCATTTGTAAACTGTCGTGGTGGTGGTGGGAGTGTTTTTTAGCATGCTGATGCATTATAATTAGTGTTTAATGAGGAGTGAGGACGACCAGAGGTCACTTTCATCACCATCTTGGTTTTGGTGGGTTTTGGCCCGCTTCTTTACTGCATCCTGTTCTATCAGCAGAGTCTTTGTGACCTGTATCTTGTGCCAAGCTTCTCCTATCTCACCCTGTGAGTAAGAATGCCTAACCTCCTGGGAATGCAGCCCAGTAGGTCTCAGCCTTATTTTACCCAGCCCCTTTTCAAGATGGAGTTGCTCTGGGTCAAACACTTCTGACATACTTCCCCCCCTCCCTTAATCCTTAAGAATTGTAGAGGGGGCCGGGCGCGGTGGCTCAAGCCTGTAATCCCAGGACTTTGGGAGGCTGAGACAGGCGGATCACGAGGTCAGGAGATCGGGACCATCCTGGCTAACACAGTGAAACTCTGTCTCTACTAAAAAATACAAAAAACTAGCCAGGCGAGGTGGCGGGCGCCTGTAGTCCCAGCTACTCGGGAGGCTGAGGCAGGAGAATGGCGTAAACCCGGGAGGCGGAGCTTGCAGTGAGCTGAGATCCAGCCACTGCACTCCAGCCTGGGCGACAGAGCAAGACTCCGTCTCCAAAAAAAAAAAAAGAATTGTAGACGGACAAAGGTCAATTATCTGTAACTTCAAGCCAAATATGGGTGATGATATTCCTGCCTATTAGGGTCTCTTGTATTTAGGGTAGAGAGAAGTTTAGTGAGAAAGCATTGGTATGGAAGCCCCTATTTTCAGTTACACAATTTTATAAAGTTACAATTACAAAGTTAAATTGCTTTTTGTAACCAGCTGAGTTTTAGGTTTTGAGGTTTGCTGCTTGCTTCTTAATGCCATATATCTTGGCATTTATCAGTCCATAATTACTACATTCTTAAAATCCATAAATATTTTTTATTCTTTCTAGGTTGCAATAAAAATAATTGACAAAACTCAGTTGAATCCAACAAGTCTACAAAAGGTAAGATTGGTTCAATATCCAGTACTTTTTAAACGATTGTCAGTGCTAATTGCCATCTAATTTGTCCCTTAAATACCTCAACTGTTGTTTTTATTTTATGTTTAATGCCATAAAGCTTCCTATTCCTCAAATAAATGCAAGTTAATCTAGTATTTCATAAAAAATTGTTGGGTTATTTTCGGTTGGAGATTATTTTTAAATGTTCTTAACAGGACAAACTAAAGGCTGTGCTTTTTTTTGTACTTTTTTATTGATATAGTTGTGCAAGGCTATACTTTTTATTGAATACTCTTAATATTGACTAGAGTTTTTAAAAAATAATACAGTACAAAAATATTTTCATGTAATTGATATTGTGCAAATTTGAACCTTTCTTATAGCTAATACTGAAAACACCACATCTGATTAAGGAGTGATGATTAATATAAAAGGGAAGTGTTAAAGTAAAACTGAAAGTAGAAAAGCATGTTCAAAAAGCAGTATTGCCATTGGTATCATTTAACATAGATCAGGTCTTTGCCCTAGTGCCTTTTAGAATCACCTGGGCAGATTTTTGAAAGTCCTAACACTTACATAATAATGCCTAAGCAATTAGGTTGGGCCCAGACATAGGTATTTCACTCACTAGTAGGACATCAGCAAATAATGATCTTCATAATAAAATTTTCCTAGTTGTTTTTAACTTTGCAAAGTCTTTTTACATACATCATTTGATTTCTAGATTTGACCTATAGTAGTTGAGGGGTACAGAGACCATGAACTGGGAACAGGAAGTACTGAATTTAAGTCCTGGCTCTGCCACTTAGCCAAATGTCTGACCTTGAACAAGGCACTTAACTTTTCTGGACCTTGGGTTTCTCATCTTTAAAGGGAGATAATTTCATCTTATGATGGATGTATTAATAAAATAATGCATATAAAAGGGCTTTGTAAACTGCATAGCACTGTACAGTTGTGCGATATTTTGATAAGTGCAATGCTCTATATACATTTCTATTGTATTCTTCATGGTTATTTATATCCTGGTAATTTTGAAGCCCTGTCCCTGTTATGTGTGTGGGAGGTGGGTAGGGAGATAGACTTTCTCTGCACTAAAAATGTTATTTCAACAAGTGGTTCTTTGTGATCTGCAACCCATAATGGGCCTTAAGGCTTCTCAAGGTGAACATGAAACATCTGAAAATTCCAGTCCTTTGTCCTGAAGAGTAAATTTTATCTATTTCCTTAAACTTTCATATCTTCAGCTATCTAAGGATTTGGTACTAATAAATACACTAGGGGTTACTACAATTTGATATTAAGAACTAAAATTAACATACAAGGATGTTCACTGAGGGCTCTAATCGAGTATTCTATGATGTTACGTACCTTCCACTATTCATGTGTACCTGGATATAATTGTAATCCTAACAGTTTTCCAGGAAAAATTTTTACTATGGTGTTGTATCGAGTTGGCTGTGGGTTTTCCTTGTTTGCTTGCTTCCTTTATTCATTTTTTATTTTATTTTTTTGGTTGTGATTTTGCATTGCTGCTCTTCTTTTATTATTTGTCACATCATTATCAGTTTAGTGCATGGTAGTTTGTCTGGTTAGCCCACTAGTGTGATTATGCATATTTGTATCTGAATTAATTTTGGCTTATAATAATAATTAAAACTTTAAGATTTGTTTTTGGTATCATTCAAGTATGAACCATTCACAGAAGACTTACTCTAAAGCCAGCTGTATCCCAAGTTAAGTAACTTGATAAGTATAATATTTTCAGTTTATAGGGCATTGTTTAAAATTGTGTATATAACTTCATATGCTTATAAAGTAAATTAGAAGCATTTTATATACATTTGTTTCCAGTTCTTTTTCACCAAGTATCTTACCGCCAGCACCTGCCCCCATCTTTCTCCCCCACCAATTTTGCAACAATGTAGAGTGTACCAGGCAACTTTGTCAGCCCTCTTTGGAATAGTCATTCTTGCAGACTTTTTCCTTCTCAGCACCATTCCTAGTTGTATTATACTTGCTTCAGGAACAGCTCTCTCAGTGATTTAAAGCCGTGGAGCATGCCCTAGCAGCTAACATTCATTGTAAGGAACATTCCGCCATCAGCAGTATGCAGTCTGTTTTTGCCACCACTACTGAAAAAGGTGGACTGGCTCATTCAGGCAGTGTTTGAACACATGTGTTAAAATATCGGTTTCATTGCAGGCCAGGCGCGGTCGCTCACGCCTGTAATCCCAGCGCTTTGGGAGGCCAAGGCGGGCGGATCACAAGGTCAGGAGATCAAGACCATCCTAGCTAACACGGTGAAACCCTGTCTCTACTAAAAATATAAAAAATTAGCCGGACGTGATGGCGGGTGCCTGTAGTCCCAGCTGCTCTGGAGGCTGAGGCAGGAGAATGGCGTGAACCCTGGAGGCGGAGCTTGCAGTGAGCTGAGATCGCGCCACTGCGCTCCAGCCTGGGCGACAGAGCGAGACTAGTCTCCAAAAAAAAAAAATATCGGTTTCATGATATTCAGGCTTGCACACTGGGTCATGAACATTTACTAAATGCACATATAAGTAAGCGTGAGTTGACTATGTTTGCAAATTGATTATTTTCACAGATAAGTCTCTTCATTTTTCCTTTGTAGTTTTCCAGCCATTGATTTAATAAACGTTAGATTCTGGTGAGAGATTTATTTTTCTCCATTGTTTTTGTACTTTTTTTTTTTAAGAGATGGGTCTTGCTCTGTTGCCCAGGCTGGCCTTGAACTCCTGGGCTTGAGCAGTCCTTCCACCTCAACCTCCCAGGTAGCTGGGTCTACAAATGCACACCACAGCATCTGACTATATACCTTTGAATGTCTCACTACTATATGTGGAATACTATTCTATTCTTAAACATCTTTTAGGTCAGTTTTTTGTTTGTTTGTTTTTGGTTTTTTGAGATGGAGTCTTGCTCTGTCGCCTGGGCTGGAGTGCAGTAGCGGGATCTGAGTTCACTGCAGTCTCCGCCTCTTGGGTTCAAGCAGTTCTTCTCCCTCAGCTTCCCAAGTGGCTAGGACTACAGGCGCCTGCCACCACACCTGGCTAATTTTTGTATTTTTAGTAGAGATGGGGGTTTTGCCATGTTAGCCAGGCTGGTCTGGTCTCAAACTCCTGACCTCAGGTGATCCACCTGCCTCAGCCTCCACTTGCTAGGAGTACACATGTGAACCACCATGCGCAGGCCAAGGTTGGTGGATCACTTGAGGTCAGGAGTTGAGACCAGCCTGGTCAACATGGTGAAACCTCGTCTCTACTAAAAATACAAAAATTAGCTGGGCGTGGTGGCACACCCCTATAATCCCAGCTTCTCAGGAGGCTGAGGCAGGAGAACTGCTTGAACCCAGGAGGCAACAGAGCAAGATGTTGTCTCAAAACAACAACAAGAAGAAATTTGTAACATGTAATGAAGTAATTGATTTTTTAAATGTATTTATGATAGCTGGTTAGTTAGCCAACCTTGAGCACGTTCAGGGATGGAGACACACTCCCTCCCGTAGCATCTTGTTTCAGTGTTCAGTGGCTTTGTTATTGGAGCCTTTTCCCCTTCAGACTAGCATCTGTCTTCTAGAAACTTCTACAACACTGTTTACTATTTTGTCATATGGAGTTATAGTCACTCCAAACATAACCAGCCCTTAGAAGTTGCTATTTTGGGTCTTGTTGTTTTTCTCTTCTGCAGGGTAAATCCCCTCAGCCTCGTTGGGTACTCCCACAGGCGTTTTGCTCAACAGAAGCCTACTTTATTCCATACTTGGAATTGTTTTTTTTTTTTTCCCTCCTGCCTGAATTTGTTTGATTCCTGCTAAAATTCATTTAATTGATTTTCTGCCTTAATTCCAGTCTTTTGGGGGATTTTGGAATAATGGGTCATTTGTATTAGCTGCTATGTAAATTGGATATGGATGTCTCCGTCCAATTAAAATATTAAACAAGGCAAGAACAAGACTTTTCAATGGAGAATTCATCGAAGTTGATACTGTTGACCCAGTAGTAAAACATTTTTTGAGTAAGATTTTTTATTTTTTTATTTTATTTTATTTTATTTTATTTTTGAGACGGAGTCTGGCTCTGTCGCCCAAGCTGGGGTGCAGTGGCCAGATCTCAGCTCACTGCAAGCTCCGCCTCCCGGGTTTACGCCATTCTCCTGCCTCAGCCTCCGGAGTAGCTGGGACTACAGGCGCCCGCCACCTCGCCCGGCTAGTTTTTTGTATTTTTTTAGTAGAGACGGGGTTTCACCGTGTTAGCCAGGATGGTCTCGATCTCCTGACCTCGTGATCCGCCCGTCTCGGCCTCCCACAGTGCTGGGATTACAGGCTTGAGCCACCGCGCCCGGCCCCTTTTTGAGTAAGATTTAACCACCATTCTTAAATCTAGACTTAGTAGGACAGAAAGGGAAATCTCTGTGTTTTTAAATTTTAATGAGATTTACAGAGGAAGAAAAAAAGGAACATTAAACACAAATATATGCAGAATACCCAGTAGGATTTATTAAAGCATTATTGACTATAGATTTCATCAGGGTCTTTGTGGGGAAATCCTGCTGATACCCGCCTCAGCCTCCTTCCCTCCCTTCCTTCCATTGGCCTTATCATGATTCTAAAATAGAGCAACACTACATTCCATGAAATAGAATAAGTGTTCCTATGAGCTGAGCAGAAGTTGGCTTTAGAGACAGGCAAAGGCTGAAGAAGGCTGAGGCAGGCCAGCCACAATGGCTCACTCCTGTAATCCCAGCACTTTGGGAGCCTGAGGGGAGAGGATCACTTGAGCTCAGGAATTTGAGATCAGCCTAGGCAGCATAGAGAGACCCGTCTCTACCAAATAAAAATTAAATAAATTAACCAGGTGTAGTGGTGTGTATCTGTAGTCCCAATTACTCAGGAGGCTGAGATGGGAGGATCACTTGAGCCTAGAAGTTGAAGGCTGCAGTGAGCTATGATGGTGCCCCTGCATTCCAGCCTGGGCAACAGAGCA